GTTTGTATCTGGACATGAATGTTACAAAATTTCTGAGGTTGGATTTCTACATCGGTGTTTATTTAAGCTTTTTTAATCTTTTAGAAACCCGAAAGTGTGTTTTACGATCTGAAGAATGGTACTTATTTAGCGTAATAAACTGCCAGCAAAAACATCGGTCGGCACCACTAATACTGGAAAAAAAGGATTCCACGGTTGTAGTGATGACAATGAGTTGCACTTTTGCATGTGTGTCAGCGCGATAAATGTGTTTGCTTCCGTTTTCTTTTGAAATAAATGCAACAGAATATTAATGCAAAACTGAAATGCTAAATTGGAAAATGGTTCCATATTACTATAGACGAGATATGCATTTTATCACCAATCACTGTGGTAATTTAAGAGGTCTTATGCATCACTTTGGAAACAGCATGCGTATTTTGTCGACGCTGTATATCTTGAGTTGCCGCCTCTGTGAGAATATGACAAATATTACTAGGGAACAATTAGTCATGTCTTTGCATGTATCGCTTGGAAGTCTTGCATCATAAGCGACACTAGAATTTTTAACAATTCTAAAGAAAACTGAAATGTGGTTGTGTAGAGATATTTACGATTTGCCAATATATTCTGGTGTTTACTGAGAGCTCATATAAATTTCATTTTGCGCAAAATTCCTATTTAAAGGCAGAGTTGTTTAGAGATTGTTTCTGTGTGGTTATGTAATAAATATAATTCCAACTCATTAATAGACCGTTTCAGCAAATTTTTGTCATTATAGTAGCACAATCTTCATCAATGAATTTCAAATTCTTATTCATGATTTCACGTGGAAACGTCACATCAAGCTAGTGAATTTCGTTACATTTATTTTCAGATGGCTGGTGACATTTGCGACACTTCAAAAACATTAAATTGAGGGTTTAAAGCCTCAAATATAACTGTCCGTGATCACTACATAACACATTGTAGCGGACTAACAGCGATCGCGCCTGAGTGAACCCTGGTTACTGACCTTACGGTGACAATGGCTCATCCCCTTTCCATTGGTTGCTGCATCAAATGCCTGTCATCCGTTCGCTCATCCACGCACTAAGACACGCTTAGCGGGCGTGAGGCTAACAAACGGTCGTGTTCCCTGTCGCCTCTCTTCTCTTCATTCTGGGGTTGTTACGAGCTGTTAACTAGAGGGTTGTTAGGTAGTGCTTAGACCACTAGCCACTACAACATGAGTCGATTGACTCCAAATTCAAGTATTTATGAAACTGATCTCTCGCCAGAGTAAACAACGAGATTATGAACTAATTTTCACTTTTATGCATAACTTCGCATGCTAAAGTTCCACTGGGAATTAATCCACACTAAATTCTCGAACACAAACAGATTACCTTAGATGATGAAGAATATATTTCCACATCATATTCTAATTCTAAGTAGTTCTGAAATAATTGCGATCTTCAAAAACACAGAAAACGTGCAACTAGCACATTTTCCGAAACTGTGGCAGAACCACGTTTAACCTGTTAATTTCCTGCTGGGAACCGATTATGCTGACACAAAGCAGCAGTGCAAGACAGTGCAGAGGGTGAAACACGTTTTGATAAAGTTAACGTGTGCAGAAACACTTTTGTCCGCGTTAATAACTCGGAATTGTGAATCTCCCAATTGAATAAATATTTGTTACTTCGTTTACCAAACATCGCATGCTGAAGTGGTTCTTCAGCCGAATGCAACGATAATAGAGAGCAAACAGTTTACATCTTCCATGCCTCTCCAGTGCACGTCGACGACGATTACACGGCTTTAAGTCCAAACAACTCAGCAAACTTGGCGCATATGCAGGTTTTGCCAAATCCGATCTGGATTGCACCACGTCTTCCAATTAGCTTGATTCCACTTCAAAAGCAGCGCAAGTCCCTGATTGAGGACGGTTACATTTGTGTGGCGTTAGCGTCAATAATTAGGACCATGTTATGAATTTCGACAAATAATCGCAGTGTTAATTAACTCTCGTTTATGTTGTCGCTTGCTATCTACTTTTTTACGATACCATTAATCCTTTTACTAGGCATACGATTTCGCATACATTATTTGTATTTAGTCGGTACATAATGGTTGGAAAAAGGTTCCAAATGCAATAATAAAAGACAAAGTTAATCCAACACCTTCTTCTCTTATCGGCATGTAGTCCAATCTGGAATGTTGCCGAGTTCTGTGCAACTGCAAAATGAGCCACTCTGAGATATAAAATGTCCAAATTAGAACACGGAACCGACATGTACCAGCATTTGTTCAAGGCGACAATGGCTTTCATCTCGTAGGGTATTGTGGGCGTTTGGGGCGCGCAAATCCATGCTCAAAACATCACGACATGCAAGGATTTTGGCTGTTTCTGGAAATACGCGAAGAAGCGTTCCATCTAATGGATTGCATATCGGCGTACGCTCATCCGGTTTGTGCAAAACTGCGTTTGCATGAATATCAACGCAGGTCTCAGAAAATTCCATTGATATGAGAAATGCGTTCATACTACATCCAGTTGGAATACCACTGCAGAAAGAGATGATATCTCCCAAATTCCTCCATTTGTCTAAGTCTGTCCATGTTGTGTCGTAATGGACCACTTAAATTTGCTGGTTTTAACTCGATGATGCGCATTCGGCTTTCAGGATCTGATGCCAGTTGCAGAAACACTAGCAAGGCACTTTTGCGGTCTCGCTGATGAACCGCTAAGTCAAAGTTATAATTGAATGGCATTCTGCGATAATACAACGCTGAACCTAACAAAGATCCTCACGTTATCACGATGGTTATATCGGCATTTCGCTTTGAGTCTAAAATTTATCGTAGCGACTTTTTACCTTGACGGTAATTCACAAGTACTACTTGGGGAAAGCAGGTTTGAATGTCTCTCTCTATAGCCCAGTCACTTTGACCTTTGCTTCAAAAGCATAATTTGTCGGGTGCTTGGATGTATTCAGACGTGTCTAACTCACGTTATAATCCACGTGCACAATATCAACATTTAAATTTTTTTCTGGTGTGCCAGAACTCATTGACGAGGTCAACTATAGTGTTCATTAAATGTGATTCCCCATTTTGCGTTGGTCCAAACTGACTGTTAAAAAAATTGACTTCGAGTTTATGCAAGCAATTCATTAACATGCCGCAACTCGAAAAACTGATTCTGAAGGCGAGGCGTACTAGTTTCCAACGCCTTCCGACGCAGACGCGAGTGATGGCCGACTTCACATCTGTTTATTACTGTTAATATTTATACAATGCAATAACCTCTGCAATAAGCTTCTCTGCCGATCAAATATTGTTTCATGGGGCTAAAGACTAGTGTGCACATATGGCAGGGGATATCTCTACGCCAGATGCAGTAAGCGAAACAGGAGTGATTAGTCCGTTGGTGTACAGTTCCCTCTCTCAAGTTCAATTGATTATTTTAGCGAATTCAGGAATCGAAAATATACTTTTGACTAAAGAAGCACCTGAATTAACTGAGGGTTTTACTTTCGTACATAGACAACGTAACAAATGCCAGCACGTTTGAAAGCATTTCTTGTCCTTAACCGCTGACTTAGAGTCACAACTAAATATGCACATGTTTGTGGGGGTAAAAGGTTACTATATGTCCAAAAATCTTCCACTTGTCTTCTGAAATCACTACTGTGACAACGAAAATTCATTTGTGTTTGTTAATTTGAGTTAAAATTGAGCAATCAATGTTGAATCAATTTACAATTTTGAATTTTGAAAACGCTTTTGTATATGTTAATTAACGAAATGGTCTAAACTATTGGCTTAGCGGCAAATGAGGCAGATATCTTTGTTACAATGTGCATTCGTTAGCCGACTGATACTCTGCAAAGTATAGTTATCTAGCTCGGTTGGGGTTATTTTGCTCAGGTGCGTTTCTGTGTTAACCTCAATCATGGACACACATTGTTTTCTAGGTGAAAGCAGGGTGGTAAAATGCGGCTGAATCCAGTTCTGCAGTGGCAAAAGGCGACGAAATTGCCATGGTTGTCGAATCATTGAGCTTTAAAGTCGCAGCATGCACAGGATTCAAGAAAACTGTCTACCCGTAACACGAAATGCTAAAACAAGGGAGGAGAGTATATAAACAGGGATGCATGATAGGAACTCTCAGAAGAGGGCGGCGAGGTGTCTGTATGCGCGGTGGCTGATTTAGTCGATTTGAATAACTATTAATCCTATTAAACCCTTTGGGAAAACTACGTCATCGGCTTTGCATTGTCGCCCTCAAATATCGTTTCTGTCAACAGCTGCTTTTCATCGTACTTAAAAAGAATCACATTAGCACCTAATGGTTGGTAAACGAGGCAGGCATCCTTCCTGAATCTGGTAAAATGCACTAGTTTTAGTTGTTTACTTGGTTAAAGGTGCTTCAGCTGGAGCTAAATTAATTAAAACTTGGCTCACGATCTGCAAACTGTGGATTTTGAAAGCCACGATATATGTCGGCCGTACTGTTTTGGCCCAATTACGTATCACTGATATCTAGATGCATTTCAAGTCCAAAGACAACAGAGATGACTGCTTATTAGATTGCTTAACCATGTGTCTAGTTGTCCTGTTTTTTTTTTCAAAACTGTATAAGTTTGACTGGGTTATTAACAAATACAGCTTGGGTGGACTAGTCAAGGCACATTTGAATGGGTTGATAGTTTTCTGTGGCGAATATCGGGGTGAACATGCATAGGGTTAAGTTAGTAGACGGTTTGGTTAGAATGACGGCCACACTATGAAAAAAAAGGTGTCTTGGGAATTAAATAAAAAGATTCGCTTTGCTGTTAGTTTAAGCCTTTGGAAGAAAACCTTAAAATGGATGTGAAGTTTGAACAACTTTGTTATTCGACGCTGTCAACTATTGTCACAATGTGAGCAAATTAATCGAGAACGCGGGTTAATTAGGCAAAATTTCAGCTGAAATCAATTCTACAGAACTCAGGAATTGACTCCAGGTAACATTGATGAGTACTCGACCTAAGGCTTGAATGCTAAAGTTGGACATTTAAACGAATAACAAGTAGAATGTTATTAATCAAAATTCTGCTAGTGGAAAACAAAATACAGCTGCTGTCGATCCATCAGTATAGAAATGATTATTTTAGATTACATTAACAAATACATTGTAATAATAGCAATAGCAGAACATCAACGTAGCATGTAAAATCAGCAAATTTTAATGGTGATAAATGCGGTTTTCCAGTTACTAATGCTGGCTTTTAAGAAGTTGTCATGCAATTAATAAAATTTATGTGAAATTTAGGTGATGTTCTCGATGTTCTCGAAGATGCAGAGTTATATATAAAGATCACTTTTTCACACAACCCCAAGTCCAAATCGTTTTGAGTTTCCAAAGAAGCTGATTTCACTTAAACCATAACTTGAGACTGCAAGCCTTGATGGAATTCAATGTGCTGTTCTATGTGCAGTTGCCGAAGTGATCCATTTTAATTCTTATGGAGCTTGATGTTAGAAAACCAATCTAGTCTGCGCATATTTTGCACCTCTACTATTCCTAACACACCGGTTTTGCAGTAGAATTCGTTTTGACCATAATATACGATGTCCAATGTTACTGTCTTTTAATAACTCTTCGATAGTTTTGTTCAACTTGGAAACAATCAAGCTTTGAATCTCATTTTTTTATCTACCATCAAAAAACTTTCTTTGCACCAAAATTTTTCACACTACACCACTTAATCAGGCCCCTAATTCCACACAAAACCAGTCGTTTCCCACAATCTTGTCCGCTCTCCACAAGCCACAATTTCGTACATACTTATTATGTCCTCCATCTACTCAATTAACTCAGCGATTTGGAAACAGAAGTATAAATCAGGCGTACTTTTGAACCAAGCGCACAGTGAAAAGTCGGCAGTTATTTCCGACCTAAGTCCTCAAGTTTTCACTTCGTTAGCAATCCACAGGCCAAAATCCCCTTTGTTGCAGTTGGATGCGAAGGTGGGATTCCCTGGTAAATTTAGATAATTTTGCATAATCGTTCTTCTTTAGATATGCCTCCACAACAACAACTGCCAACTACCTGTATACGGCACCCTTTATATGTGCTTCAATGAGTCAATGCTACAGATGATTCATGAATCCAAGAACCAGTCAAAACGCTAACTTCATGTCTTTGCCAATTTTATCAAACTGTAGTTGGTTTAAGCTATAAATGCTCAAAATGCACGGCATTTCAAAACGTGAGTCAAATACTCATAGTGATAAGCATTAAACAAATAATTCAGAAAAGGTTTCGCAAAACTCAAAATGAAAGATCTGGTGTAATTTCAATAGCTGCAATAAATATGAGAAACGTCTAAAAAATTAGGTAGTATTTGAGGGTGAAAATTAGGGTGGAAGTAGGATAAGCTGTTCTTGCAGGATAAAAAATGGTACCCACGTCGTACCATTTATCTGCGCAGAGGCAAATCTTGAGTATTTGTACACCGTGACGAGATCGCCGCGTTTTGCCTGTGGTGAATAATCCAGCCACACTTTCCATATGCTTTCTTGAGAGCCAATGATGTAATAACTCATGTCTACAGAAACGGTTTGCTGTGTACGGTCGCCGTAGTGATCATTCAGTGCCTGTTTCAGGGCATGCGCCATGCGGCAAACATTAGAGGAAAACGTGCAGACGAGGAAGTCGGCGTGAGCCAGCAGCATCACATCAAAGCAAATTGATTTAATTCCTTCTTTTGTAACTCGCGAATTCACGTCTGAGTTGGTCTGGAATGTTGTCCCCTTTTCATGAAATGCATACATGGAATATTTTTGCCTGGCTTCTGAATACACTGTTGATTCGTCAGATGCTAAGAATATGTTTCTTCTACGCGCGTCATTTTGCGTTCTTTTCAATTCATTACACGCATCAACTAATTTGTAATACTGGTCAACGGGAGCAATGTAAGAACTGACGGGGAACGAACTGGCTTCACCAAGGAGTTTATCCGTGCGACGAATGTGGATGCCGACGTAGACTTGACCATAACCTTCATGACGAAGGCTAGAAATTGTTGTGTTTATCTGCTGCGATAAGGTAGCGTCTGTCAAACGAATTGCGTATTTAATCATGTGTCCACGCAGCCACAAATACGGTGACTCGTGTAGAGGTTGAAGCAGACTCGCCCATTCAGCTGGCAGTGCGGGAGGAAATAGTGGGGTTACCGGCGCGCTATTGACAAATTCCTGTTTAATTACTGATTGATTTATTCCAATTTCAATACAATTTGTCAATGGGAGAAACAGTCCATGGAAGGTTTGATCGAAGCCATGCACAAACAGTGTTCTGTTAGTTGCTACTGCCAGTTGCATTGCAAGCGCAATATGGTGGATTTGACAACCGAAGCCACACGTCGGCAGACCCGTCTCAACAAATCTGGCGGCAGAACAGTTAGTGGGATGTTGCAGTTGGAATAGCTGTTTCTGAAATCGTTCACCCAGACGCACAAGCTTACGTCTCCTGCGTTCAGCGTGTCCACCTAATTCATCCATCCGAATCAGACGACTCGCCATCTCGAGTGACCAGTTCGAGGCACTTCCAATTAGCGTGCCGCTTAGGTGTAGGGCTATGCTGAGTGCTTGCCTATGCAATGTATTGTAATCTCCGAGTTGATTACTTTCCTCATCTAAATCCTTCTGTTGACGGTCAGTGGGATACTCCTGATAGTTCAGTGGCTCGTGATCCCGAAGTTGAGTTTCAATCCACTGCATATATCCGTTGCTAGTAAGGAGGAACCATGCAGTGCAAATAATTGCGACAATTCCACAAAGTTTAACGATCCGCCGCATACCTGCTGACACTTGGCACAATTATTTAATGCTATGACATTTAATCCAAGTGTTTCAGAATGTGTGCTTTTTCAAAGGAATGTACTGAGAAATCTAAGACCTCTGCACGAATCTGTGAAATCAATGACCTATAATTGGTTTGTGCTTCTGGCATAATTCGATTGGTTAATGAATCGCCACTGTTTCCTTAACTTCCAACATTCCTACCTGCTTCCTGGTTCCAATCTTCCTGCTAATTTTAACGGCTTTATTAATTAGCATTTTCACTTTCGCATGGGATGAATTTTGCTGCTTTAAGTTAAAAAGGAGCCTGTAGGACAATTGTGTCATCCGTTGGGTCACAGCAACCGCAGGATAATTGGAGCCTTCATTGCCATAACGTACATGATTTACTTTTTCCAAGTTTTTCAGCAAATTTATTCAGTAAAAAAAGAGGTCGAAGAACACAATTTTGGAAATGTTGTCCACGTAACGTATGAATGCCGTCGCGAAAAATTTACAGGCTTCGTCGCAGCAAATTCATCAACGAGTTAACGCACATCGTCCAGCGTTTTCAACTGTTTATCCACTGAGGCCTGCTTCATTGAGTGTGGCCAAGTCTGACAAAATATGTCGCGTGTGGTGGCATTTCCAGTTTCAAGATCTACCGGGTCTTCTGAGTCCCGCGAGCTACGCGAGGTCGAACGTTATCATGCTTCAGCAGTATGACACGCCTAAATCCTACCCTATAGATTGCCTTTTCTGATCAATGTCTTTGTTCAGTTTGTTATCTGTCAGCCGTGGCTTTCCGCAGTCACCATCAGACGGCCGGTTTCGAGGTGTTTAATAATAAAGTGACCTTTATGCCTCACCAGAGTCACAGGACAATCTTTTTCAATTTGATGTTCAATTTCTGCGTCGATGTACTAGGTTGCCCGGGCTCTACTCACGACCCTTTGCAAATGGAATTCTAGTAATGAAATAGTTACTTTTCCACAAGAAGTCAATTTTGTTCCCTGTGTGCAAGCAGTAACAGGCACGTGTTCATACAATGGCCTTGAATTTTGTCGATCAATACATGTGGGCCGTTGCAACATCCAAGTATTTGGATTTCTCCCATTCCTTGAACACGCTTAGAAACAGCTGTTTGCGTGACTACTAATTGAGCTGCAAGCTTGTGTTGCTTATTCACTGAGTGGTCATCCAGCAGAGTTCCAGTAGGATTCAAGTGGCAGAATCAAACAGAAGAGACGTCAGTTAATAGAAGAGAGTCAAGATGAAGAGAAATTAAATCAGTGAGAGTATCACATTAGGGGCACTTAAATTACCCTCGTAAGTGACTCATACCGAATGTTTTTAGGGTGTTTTATCATTGCAATCAAATTAAATATCCAAGGCCAATACATATTTCCCTGACACAATTTGAGCTCCCACCAAACAATCAGTTACTTCAACCTCTATGATGAATATCTCAAAGTATGTCAACATGTCACCCAATAGGTCAATAATCGATCAATGCCATAATCACTTCAATGATATTATTCACTCCGGAGACAACCAAGTCATTGGCGCCTCATCTAAAGACCACTTTCAGGGCAGAGCTGAGGGCTATTGCCAGTCGCATGCTCCCACACCTACCAGCGCCTTCGCCTGCCCTAACAAGCTCAGGAGGAGCTGAGGGCGATTTTATGTCCCCAAGTTTATACTACCAGCAACTTGCCACCAGTGTCTTCACTCGTGCAAATAGACAATTCGTACCATCGATTTCGCCGTTAGATCTCAGTAGAACCATCTGTTTGACTTTACGAAATATCAGCTTGGTAAATCCTGTTATTATCTCCCATTGGCAACGGATTTGGCTAGACAGGATGCTACCTCATTTGACAACCATTACTGCTCGCTTCTGGACACCAAACAGTTAATTGAAGTTGTCTTCTACAATCCCATGCAAACCAACCTCTGTTACGAAAATTATTCACACCCATTTTGTAGAAGAAAAAAATAAAGTGTATTCAGAAACAGTCTATTTACCTGCAGCGAACGGATATTTGTCATGTTCTGGTGACCAGAAGTAGACCGTCGCTAAGCACATCTGTCAGAAATGTAAGTGATAATCAAAAAATCTATCACGCGAAATTAACTGTGACTCCACTTCGTGATATGTGCAGAGGTCGGTTAAGGTTTGTGCTCTGAGGACTGTCAGTCTGCACAGCGTATTCATTCATCAATTAGAGCTTGTAGGTTACAAGCCACATGCAGCAAGAGAGCAAGATTGAATTAGTCCATTCATACCTTACTATTTTGGACTTACTAATGCATAGGCCAATGAGAATAAAATGAGGCGATTTACTAACGTGATTACTTTCACATTTTGCCATTGAACGTCATGTTTCCTGAAGTGCTACATAGAAAATGCGATCTAAACATTACCCATTGTATGTCCATTGGACTTGTGCAAACACGAGGTTAACAGTCACCGCTGCATTTAAAATTCCACTCAGTACATTGAGAGTATATTTCATTTCGCATCACGCGGTAATTCCATTTAGCTGCAATTAAGGAGCTTACATTATTGCAACATCGGCCTAATAAATCGAATGTTTGTTTGAATTCAAATACGCAGTTTGATTTTGGTGTGTTTTGTGCCACTCACAACCAGTAGTGTAGAGGATGACTTCATGGAAATGCAACGAATGGAAACACAAATATTATTTGTTGGTGTAATATGTGACATCACACTAGAGGAGTGTGCGAACGTTAGGGATTGTGTATGCATGTTAGTGACAGAATGCTTCCATGTCAATCAAACCAGAAGGGAGCCAAATTTACGCATGCATTTTGCGATGGTCTGTAAATCGATCAACCTGAGTACACCGATTTTTGAAATGGATGTGCATTTCGACGTCTTCAGCACATGACAAAGGGCTAGGGTCTTGCGCACTACGGCTGTAAATCTTCCCGGCCTTTGGGTCAGGCACAAATTAGCAATGAATAATGTTAGAATCCATGTCTGAATGGTATTGTGAATATTAATATGACCAGACTGTAGTGCAGTATTATGTCTGCAACGTCTTCACTAATAAAACCATGTGAACGGAGGAGGGTAAACGAGCAGTCACAAATCGCAGATTTATGAAGGCACTTACTTTTGAGAAATCCGATTTCCTTATAGCTATTGTTTATCAAGTTGATCTGGAGTATCAGCCATTGCTGCGTTTCTAACTCCTACGTCTTCAAAGTAGTAAAAACTACTTGAGGGTTTTGTCTTCAACAGCACCTGGGTCAATAGTAAATGGTCTAAAGTTCTTCCAAATCCATTTATGGAAAGTAAGCAGCTATTTGTATTCTGATCTCTTAAATGAATTACTACTGCAATGTCCCCATCTTCAACAAATAATATAATTAATTATACCTCGGGGCACAAACAATTAATATGAGAGAAGTGTAGGTGATGTTAGCATTATTGAGACTGCCATATTAAATTAAAATAGATTGTAGTCATTGAAATACAGAAGCAAGAAATAGCAACACTACAAATTTCACTCCAGCCACGGCGATTTACCTAAAAAAAACTAAGTGGTAATCTGCTAAGATAGTTAACGTCCTTCAAGTCTTATTTACGCCCAACGTATTAAATCAGCCGTAAGATGTACTCTTGAAAAGCTAAACCAATGCACTATGTACTTGTTAGAGCTAACACGAGATTGACTGAATCCTGCTGCTTAATTCGATACATCTTCTACTGAGTGATGTTAAAATCTCCTACATGGGATAAATCACTGTGGAGACAACCAAGTCATTGACACCTCATTGAATACAACTTTCATGGCAGAGGTAAGAGTGATTACCAGTCGCGTGCTGCCACACCTACGAGCACCTACGCCTGCTGTGACCAGTTTAGAAGGAGTTAGGGGCAATTTTAATTCTCACCAAGTTCATCCAACCAGCACCTGAACCTCAGTGTGTTTACTCGCGCAAATTAACCACTCCTACGATAGAGATCACTGTCCAGTCTCAGTACACGCCATCTAACAATGAACCGACAGAAGTCAAAGTAGACGAATAAGGAAACAACTTCATTAAGGGCCCACTGATCGACAAAATTGGCCTTCGTGTGAGAAACAGCAAACCAGTTGGAGAATATAAGACAGGGCTAATTAGGGCGGAAAAAGGATAGACTGTTCTCGCAGGATAAATTGTGGTACCCAGGCCGTACCGTTTATATGCGCATAGCCAAATCTTGAGTGTTCGTTCACTGTGACGAGATCGCCGCGTTTTGCGTGCGGTGCGTAATCCAGCCAGACTTTCCATGTGCTTTCTTGAGAGCCAATGATGTAATAACTCATGTCTACAGAAGCGGTTTGCTGTGTGCGGTCGCCGTAGTGAACATTCAATGCCTGTTTCAAGGCATGCGCCAGTCGGCAAACATTAGAGGAAAACGTGCAGACGAGGAAGTCGGCGTAAGCCAGCAGCATCACATCAAAGCAAATTGATTTAATTCCCTCTTTTGTAACTCGCGATTTCACGTCTGAGTTGGTCTGGAATGTTGTCCCTTTCTCATGAAATGCATACATGGAATACGTTTGCCTGGCTTCTGAACACACTTTTGGATCATCAAAAGCCAGAAATATATTCCGCCTACGTGTATCATTTAGCATACCTTTCAACTCATTACACGTTCTTATAAATCGATAATGCTGCTCAACGTGTTGCATGTACGCACTGACGGAAAACGACTTGGCCTCCTTAACGAGTTTGTCAGTGCGACGGATGTGGATGCCGACGTAGACTTGACCATAGCCACCACGTCGAAGGTTCATAACCATTGAGTTAGTGTGATTCGATAGAGAGGCGTCTTTCAGACGAATCGCGTATTTAATCATGTGTCCACGCAGCCACAAATACGGTGACTCGTGTAGAGGTTGAAGCAGACTCGCCCATTCAGCTGGCAGTGCCGGAGGTGACAGTGGAGTTACAGTAGCAAAAGTGACAATTTTTTGCTCAATCACGGATTGATGTTTTCCAATTGCTGTGCAGTTAGTCAAAGGGAGAAACAGTCCATGGAAGATTTGATCGAAGCCATGCACAAACAGTGTTCTGTTAGTTGCTATTGCTAGTTGCATTGCAAGCGCAATATGGTGGATTTGACAGCCAAATCCACACATCGGCAGTCTTGTCTCAACAAATCTGGCAGTAGAACAGTTGGTGGGGTGTTGCAGTTGGAATAGCTGTTTCTGAAATCGTTCACCCAGATGCACAAGCTTACGTCTCCTGCGTTCAGCGTGTCCACCTAATTCATCCATCCGAATCAGACGACTCGCCACCTCGAGTGACCAGTTCGAGGCACTTCCAATTAGCGTGCCGCTTAGGTGTAGGGCTATGCTGAGC